AACTACACAATGAAACCGAGAAAAGAAGACAGAAATTAAAAGTGAGTCTAACATTAAACACTATTTCAAAAAATAATCTCAAATGAAAAGAACTCAATTTCATCAGTCACTCCTGCTATAAACTGTACCATGAAACTTAAAAAAGTAACAAATTGTAAGAAGTTGAAAGTACACTAAACGTTATTCTAAAACAGCTTTCAAATGCTCTATTAATTAATCAGATTAGGTATACACCATTTGAAACTAGAAAAAAATTTTAAATGTGAAGTGAAAGGAAAATGAAACATTTCCAAACCAATCTCCCATGATAAGAACTTAGTCTGAATTCAGTAACTTCTGGTATTCTAAAGCATTTCATAAAACTGAGAAAGAAAGAACAAGTAAAGAAGTGAGTTGAATGTGAAATAGCACTTAAAATCTAGACTCAAACGATAAGAGCTCTGTCTGATCAGTCACTTCTGGTATATTATCCCTTTTCCTAACACAACGAAATTCATTAAAAATTAGACTTTTGGACAAAGTTTTGAATTATTCATGTTGCCATGAAAAGTACTCACTCAAATCAGGTGCATTTTTGGACGCCACACCTCTTGACCAAGCCCAATCAGCCATTTTAATTAATTTTCATGGAGTATCTTTGAGGTATAAATTATACTAAAAAACTGAGAAAAAGGAAACAAGTGTAAATTAAGTCAAACATAAAATGTCATTCTAGAAACAAACCTCGCATGATAAAAACTTAGTATGATCAGTCAATGTCAGTATGATCAGTATCAACTGAACCACAAAACTGAAAAAAGAATTTAACAAATACTGTAAAGTCAAATGTATACGAAACATTTTCAAAAAGGTCAACTGATAACATAATCAGTCACTTCAGTACACATCATACATTGAATCTAAAAAAGGAAACAACTGGTAAAGAGTATGTAGTACATGTAACATCTTTTTAAAAGGAAATTCACATGATAAGAATTTAGCCTAATCAGTCACTCATGGTATAAAATGTACAATACAACAGTGAAAAAAGAAGCAAATAGCAACTGGAGTTCATGAAACCTTATTTTAGAAACACAAACTATGTGAATGTAGTCCAATAGGCACTCAAGGTATATTTATAGTGTAAATCTCAGAAAAGAAAACCAGAAGTGAAAAGTAAGAATATGAAATATCATATTCAAACCACCAGAAATGATTAAATATAAGTTGGATCAGTCACTCATTGCATAAACTAGAACAGGGAGAGTCTACTAGAAGATTTTTGTAGCCAGTAATTTTAGTAGATTTCACGCTTTTACACAATCCACAAATATGAATATTATCAAAAATTGATTTATTTAATACAGTTCAAGATCGCCAAAAAGTAAAAAAAAACCACAGAAATTAAAGCCATGAAATTGATTTTTGAACAAATCTGCAAAAATTTTTGGGCGAGAAAATTTTCAGCTATACGGTAGTGAAAGTCAGTTGTAGATAAAAATTTTTAAAACAAAATTCAATATACCATACTATTATAAAACTGAAGAAAGGTAAGAATTAGTACATGAAACATTATTGCAAAAGCAACCCATATCAATAAAAACTCAGTCAGATGAGTCACTTCAGGCATTTTAAACTATACAATGAAACTAAAAAAAGAAGTAAGAAATAGTGAAAAGTACATAGAAAATTTAACATTAAAAACTAACGTCAAAAGATAAGAACTCAGTCTGATCAGTTGCTTTTTGCTATTTTAATCTACACTATGATACTGAGATTGACTATTGGCCACCAGAAACCTCAAACAAGGAGGAAGTTTGGAATTTCGTGAAGGCCACTCCCAGAAATCATATTCGTAACAACAGGTGAGTGGTTGGTAACAACCCCAAGAGTACATGTTTAAGACCAACTGCATCAATGGTAGGAGCACAGCTGATCATATAGTCCAGCACCAACAGCGTGATGCCATGGCTGTGAGGAAAGTATATGAGCATGCTGCACCAACAGCGTGATGCCATGGCTGTGAGGAAAGTATATCAGCATGCTGCAACACCAGGTGTCTCACAGTATGTTAGAGCTACTGACTGGTCAAACGCTAAGGGTGGGAGCCACAAATGTGCTGGTGGCCATACCAATATATATAAACAAAGAGTGGCATGTCAACACTGCCAAATGGTCGGGCATACAATTATGCCTAACACAACTAACAGTGGCATGCCAGCACCGCCAATGGTCCAGTGACAACAGCGGGCATGCCATTAGTAACAAATGATCATGCCCTCAACCACAGGATGGGAACCATTAAGAGCTGGTCAAATGGAGAGCCAGCATAGGGTTGTGCCCCACATTGTAAAAATTGGCCATTTAGAGCAGCCCCCCCTAAGGGGGTCTGAATTAAGGCTCAGGAAAGTCACAGGCAGACTACACAAATATGAAGGACAGAGTGATACAAACAAATGTAAATGCAAGTGAGGCATAACCTTCAACTGAATGTAGAAAGGATATGCAATAGGAGAGGTGATGGGGAACATAATTACACAGAAAAGAACCAAAACTTGGCCACTAGAGCACTCAAATGAACACAAAAGACCCCTAAGATACACCACTCAAATGTCAAGAAGTGGCCCTGCCTTATCATTCACTGACTTTCAGTGCAAGCCTTTAAAAACTATTAAATAACTAGAAATCTCAAACAAGGGATGATGTTTTGGAATTTTGTCAGTGAAACTCCCCAAAAACTCATCAGTAACCACAGCCAAGGGATTGGTAACAACCCCAGCAGTATATGGACAAGACAAACTGCATCAATGGTAGGACACACAGCTGGTCATTACATGTCAGCACTACCAATTGGTCTAGCACATGCAGCGTCATGCCATGGCTGTGCTGAAAGCATTTGAGCATGCAGCATGTCACAGCCACCGAATGTTCCACAATTAACATTGGTAGCCACAAATGAGCAGGTGGGCATGCGGATATGCCCATCACAACCAACCGTGATATGTGAATGCCACGAAATGGTGCAACGCCAACAGTGGGCATGCCATTTTCATTTCCCTACCATGAGATGGCAATGCATTAAGAGCAGCTCAATTGGAAAGCAAGCTCTGGGTTTGTGCCCCACAATATAAGAAGGCAAGCATTCCCTCCTGGGGCCCCAAATTGAGGTTCAGGATGGTCACAGGTAGACTACACATATATCAATTAGTGAGTAATGGAAACAAACACAGCAATTCAACCGAGGCTCAAAACCCAACAAAGTCGAGAAAAGAGATGCAATGGGGAGGTGAAGCAAACAAAATTACACAGCCAAGAACTAAAACTTGGAACACGAAAACTCAAACGAACACGAGGATATACCACACAAAGACTCCCCCCACTTTTTCATTAACTGACTTTAGATGCATGCAGTGAATACTACTGAATGACAGTGGGCTTCTGGAAACTTCAGAATAAGAGGAATGAGGTTTGGAAGTTTACAAGGACCACTCACAAAAATGCAGTGGCAGCCACAACAGGGGTTGGGTAATTACCTCAGGAGTACATGAATAAGACAAGAGCAACAATGGCAACAGCACAAATGGTAATGACACATCAGCACTGCCAAATGGTCCAGCGCAAACAGCATATTACCATAGCTGTTTGGGAAGCATCTGAGCATGCTGCACCAGCAGGTGTCCCACTGCAAGTCAGAGCCAGAAACTGGTTCATTGCTAACAGCAGGAGGTATGAATGTGCAGTTATGCTTGTTCATCACAAACAACAGTGGTATTTCAACGCCTCAGAATGGTCCAGAGCTAACAGCGGGTAAGCCATGTGTAACCAATTGTCAAGCCCCTACCACAGGATGGGAACCCATTAAGAGCAGCTCAATTGGATAGCCAATTAGGGTTCAAGTTGTAAGAGGGTCAATTCAGAGTAGTCCACCCTATGTGGCACATACTGGCTGAGAATGGTTACTGCAGACAGCATAAATATTAGTAGGTGAGTGATGGGAAGCAACAAGGCTCACCATCATTTTGTGAATATAAAAAATTAATAGGTATGAAAGAATCAAATGCAAGACCTTAGCAATAAAACATAAGAAAAAAACAAGAGGATTAAGCCCAACATGACTTGAACAAAAACAACACAACCCATAAAAGAGCACAAAAGTGAATGGAAAGCCATTAGAGTCTGGGTCACCCCAATCAAGGTATTCCTTGAAGTAAGAATGTACCTAGTGAATGCTACCAATTTTCACCAGCCCAGAAGCTAGATGAGAGAATTTTTGAGAAAACAAGTAGCTGCAATAGTGGCTGCTCCAATAGAAACGTTGTGGCAAATAACACAACCAACATTCGTCACTAATGCCCTACGAATAGCAGCAACAAGACACCTATGGGACAGAGAAGACAAAATACAAACAGGGGACAAAACTTGGGCTTTTTACTGCCAGGTATGCCAATAGGGACTTAACTAGACAGATCTGACCCCAAACTTGCCCCCAGTAGATGCGGACTCCTACCACAAACACATGGGGACAAAACTTGGGCTTCTTACTGCCAGGTATGCCAATAGAGCCTCACTAGACAGATCAGACCACATACTAGCCACAAGTAGATGCGGACTCCTACCACAATTACATTGGTCTTACTGCAGTAAAGGAGAAATGATAAAAAGGAAAGGAATGAGTGAGAAAAACTGCTACATCCACTTATGACAACATGTACTTGGACAATGTAGCCCTAGGAGGGCAAGTGAACTCAGTAGCTCAGAGGAAGCCAAAACAGCCTGCATAAGAAGCCCACAACAGGACATTATATTACGACAGCTACAATGACATGCGCAGGAAAAGACCCAACACGTGAATAGTGACGGGAGGTCAGGTACAACCAAGAGAGGTTTTACAAATGCTCTCAACACATATTCCCACCTAGGAAAAAACGTCGCAAAATCTTGAAAGACGAGAAATCTGGGCAAAGCAAACCCCACTCAGAGACACCAAAACTGACTCGTATGACAATGCCCAACCAGTCACATACGATACAAATTGAGAAAGGAGAGACTCAGAGGAAGGAGTAGGAGAAGGAAAACCAAACCAGTCACAAAAAAAGAGATAGCTATCAAGGGCTGTGCAATAAGACTGCAAGGTACTTGTGGAAAGAGAGGTCATACATTAAACCTGAACTACCTAATCCTGGAAAGAGCCACAATCGGTGCATTGCGACAGCAAAACCTCATTAGACACCACATTATAAGGGGCTACTGGAAAAAAGAAATGAAAAAGATAAAATTAAAAAGGAGAAATTAAAAAAATAAAATTATATATTCTATATGTATTATGAAAGCTGTTCTTTTCTGACTCTTACTTATTTTTGTTCTCTATTGTGCTTTACAATTTGTCGTTTCTCCCTCTTTCTTCCCATCTCCTTGATATTTATATTAATAATAAGTAATCCTGTTTGATTTACATTTTACAATGCTGTAACAAATTGCAAAAAATGTTAAGGATAAATAGGCAAAAAAAGAATCTTGTGATAAGTTATACAATAAACTTTAGTAATCTGAAGTAGTTACGAGTCTACAACACTAGTCCAAACCAAGAAAGGAGACTTGTGTAATGCATTTTGCCTGCAAGCAACAACATCTTGCAGAACAGTAAGTGAAAACGGATGAAATGACGGCCATAAAGACTGAACACAAACTAAATTAACATAATTGTGAGCATTTCCAAATTTGCTTAGAGGAGTTTGATTCAAGGTGAATGTTTTCCATTCCTCATGTTTGAGGCAGAAGTCACATGGTGAAAAGCAAGGCTTCATGCATGCATCTCAGCTTAAAGCCATTAGAGATGGAGATTTTACCCTGAATAAAACACAAGAAAAATGGAGATATGTTGTGATGAGACTTTGGTGAGGAGTTGTAGGTGAAGCATGGGAAGGTGGATAGGAAAAGAAGATTGCATATAAGGAAGTGCATCAGATGTACTTGTGACAGGAGAACATGACTGAATAGATAACACACAACTACATCCTTCATTGTAAAATATACATCAATCAGGATTAATTATTATTAATATCAATAATAAGGAGATGGGAAGAAAGAGGGAGAAACGATACAAGGAAAAAACACAATAAAGAACAAAAATAAGCAAAAGAGTCAGAAAAGGATTAGCTTTTTCAATAGAATGTATATTTTTATCTTTTCACTTTACTTTTTCAATTTATCTTTTTCATTTCATTTTTTTCCAGTAGCCCCATTATACGATTTCTCTTGAACAAGGGAAAGAAATAATGACATGTTATCCCTAGACAGAGCATCAGCTGTGAATTAGCTAGCCCAGACAAGTAGAGCATACAGTGAGCATACAGTAAAAAATGAACTACAGCAGCAAAAAGATAGAAGCAATGCAGATGCAAAAGGGTTGTATCTTTGGCAGATCACCTCTGAATGACAGAGACAAAAAAAGCATTATCACAATAAAAGCAAACCCTTGAGCAGTGCCAAGCACTACCCTACACTGCACCTGCCAGTACAATTGGGGACAATACCTTTACTGCAATGCTGGCATTAGCCCTTTGCCACGGGACCTGCAACTGTCTAGCATCTCATGCAACTGCCCCACATCTAAAATTCCCAGATACATCAGTATCAACATAAACTAGGAGTATTCTGACCAGTAACAAAAGCTGCTTCATGACAGACCAGTAAAAACAGTACCACCATGCCACATCTGCCTTAGCGACTACATCTATGTTAAAAAGAAGTGGCCCAACTGGCCATTGCAAGAGGGACAACAGGTGCAGAAAAAAAGTCTGCCTTGCCATACCACCACATCTGCATAAGAAAGGTACCCAAGCAAGGACTCAAATCAGAGCGCCGACAAGACCTCCCATACAAGCTAGAAATGAGTGCCCTCACACGACCCACCTAATTATGTGGCAAATGCAGCTCTATTCTTTCCAAAGTAACCTTTATTCCCAATAAGGTCCAAAAGTGCCAGGGCCCCCAATCTTCAGAAGAGTAACTGGAATTCCAGGACCAGCTAGCACATCAAGAGCCAACAGGAGTGCAAACTCCATCTCCTTAGAACTAGGAGACCCAATAAACATAAAATCATCCAAGTCATGCATGACGTGTTCAATTCCCTGATGACACAGATTCCATGCCAGCAGCCTGCTTCAAAGCAAGGTCAGCACCGACAACTGAAGGTAATGACTGACAGCAAGGATGGTTACAGGAGGAAAAGCGAACCAGACATTCGACAAGCAGCCTGTTTTGAAGCAAGGTCAGCACCAACAACTGAAGGTGAAGACTGACAGCAAGGATGGTTACAGGAAGAATGGTTACAGGAGGAAAAGCGAACCACAACATCATTTGACACCCCAACCCAGAAACCCGCTCAGACCCCAGACACAGCAAACGTAGACAGCTGCTGATCAGGGTAGGAAGACAAATGTGAAGACAAAAATGTCATACCACCGATGATAAGCAACCCATTGCAATCACAGACTGAAGGCATGCCTGGTAGTGCTGGGCGTTATATCAAAACTGACAATATTTAATTGATATAATGTGGTATTGATACTTATCAATATCAAAATAATTTGAAGGAAATATAAAAACAAAACCACGCCCACAAAATGGCTACATAACCTTAATAAATGGTTAATTAACTATAGGAGTAACATCTTGAAAATTACTAAAATGTAATGTCTTGGAAAGTAGATGAAGTAGCTGAAGTATGTGAAGCCAAAGAAGGTTTTCATAACGATTTTCAATAATAATTGTTCTCAAATAGTTTCATTTAGCCAATTCAGTAATATTAAAGTTAATGGGTGTGGCTTAATGACTTATCAATAAAAAATATCAATACTATCATTTTTAGGCAATATTGTATCACATCGTATCGTTTCAAAATTTTCAATATCGGCCCGCACTAATGTCTCAGTCATCAAGGTCCTCCTAATATATGTAATAACCACAAGCATGAGGGCCAATGTACACATCCTAAGTCTTGGGCCTAACATAGGAGACCAGGATGACTATCACGGCAAAAAGGCATTAAAATAACTCAAGATTTCCCCAAAACAACAATCACAAGAAACATCGAATAAACATTAAAAAAAAGATAAATGCAAAATAACTTCAAAGATGTAACATATCAAGCCAAAGCAAGATCCAAGTCAGAGAAATGCAGATTGGGCTGATGAAGGAGGTGGAACTCGCCCAGTCCTGGATGTACAGAACCTAGAATCGGCAGTGGTCTCAGCATTAACCCTCACTGGATGTGAGGGACTGCAACAAGTGGCACATGTATGGAGGTGACATACCTACTCTCATTCCAGGTGAGACAAACCTGAGAGGACTTCAGAAACTAGGCTAGGACTCCCTGCTATGGTGGAGGCTCAAGGGCCATCAAGTAACACTCAGAAGATGAATGGTCACAGGCCTGAAAAACTCAGCAACATGTACCACTGCCTGCACGTTGGCTCAGAATGGTAAAAGTCACCAAGCTAAGTGCTTAAGAACAAGAGTGATTGAGGGCCACCTACTGCTGAAACAGCTAGTCATAATCCAAGCAGCCCCAATCCCCATGATGAAGTGATACATGTACTACAGATGTAGCATACACAAGGTGATCCCGAATGAACTGGCTCAGGACTAACACGGCCAGATAATTAAAAAAGTATAAATCAATGAGGGAAGAGTAGATACCACCCAGAGCCAAGGGTGTGTTGAACAATTGGAAAGTAGGCATCTGATGACTGAAAGTGTTGCATAAGCACAATGTTATCACCCAGCAGCTTACTCATCTCAATGAACTGGCCACTCTGGATCTTGTGGAGTAGCCTTGCTAGGATAGGCTCAGCCAACAAACACAAGGAAAGACCAGGGGCCACGGGAGGCCCATGGATAAGAATGGCTGTAACTCAATTACATCCTTTTTTTGCAAAAAAATCATAACTCACCACTAAATGTGTCAAATGACAGAAAACAAAGACAAAATGGAAGGAGAACTATGCTTAATAAAAGCAGAATAAATCTCAATTTTCAATTTTGGAGCATTTAGCCTGGTTTTCTCATATCAAGTCACAAATAATATATATCCAATACCCCAGGCAATAACCCACAGAGATAAACTTACCTACAACACCAGCTGCAGAGTTCAAGGGTGGGTCAGCAAGGGGGCTGGGTACCAGGGCACAGCCAACAATGGGGTACCAGATTGGTCCTGGTTACCAGCTGGGAAGGCAGCAGCTATCTGCTGACAAACCTTCTGGAGCGTAAGTGCCGAAAACCCAGAAAGAGCCATCAGAGATCGATCAGCATCCTGCACTATTGGTGGAGACATGTTGTGTTGTGCTGAAAAGCACAACACAATATGGACAGCCACAACCAGATGCTGGCAAAGTGGAACTTGCTCCCTCTTCAGACGCCCAGTGGCTCAAACTACGCCCACATATCTTAGCTCGACAAATCTTTGGCGGACAAATGTACAACAAAGAGAGTTCTCAAACAAAATTACACATCAAACAACCAAAACTTGACCACTCGAGCACTGAAATGAACACAACCAACTACGAGGATAAACCATGCAAATTTCAAGAAGTGGCCCACCTCATATCATTAACTGACTTTAAATGAAGCCTTTGAAGAATATAAAGAAGAAACAAATGTGAAGTGAGTCGAACATGAAACATCATTTCCAAGCCAATCTCCAATAATGAAAACTCAGTCAGACCAGTCACTGCTGGCATATTTAACTATACTATGAAATTGAGAAAAGAAGATACAAATAAAGGAGTGAAAGAAAATATCATTTTAACACTAAACTCAAATAATAATTCAGTCTGATCAGTCACTTCTGGTATAAACTATACTTGAAACTGAGAAAAGAAGTAGTAAAAGGAAGTAGTACGCGAAACATTCTAAAACCAACATAGAATAAGAACTCAGTCTGAACTGAAAAATAAAGACACGAAAATAAATAAGTTGAAATTAAAACAACATTTTAAAAACTAATCTTATATGTGATGAACTCTGTCTGATTAGTTGCTTTTGGTACTTTCAACTATACAATGAAACTGAGAAAAAATTATGAAGTGAAAGGTTCATAAAATATCATTTCAATAAACAACCTGAAATGATAAGAACTTAGTACAAACTACACCATGAAACCGAAAAAAGAAGAAAAAACTTGTCAGAAATAAATTTGTACACAAAACATTGTTTTAGAGCCAGCCACAAATGATAAGAAGTCATTCTGATTAGTCACTGGTGGTATACGCCATACTAAGAAAGTGAGAAATGAAAAAACAGTTCTTTGTTTCTTTCTCAGTGGGTCAAGCGTGAAACATTAACTCTTTCATGCAGAGGGTTAATAATTAATAATTAACTGCGTGGGCAGCAGTTTGCAATGTTGGGGTAGCAGCAACATATAGTTTCTAAAACATAAACATCACAACCAAAAAATACAAATGCATCTTGTTATGGGACTAAGGGACACTTAAAGTACTTGTAGAAATGCAAAGCATTGTTCCACAAGTCACCATGTCATAATAATGCAGTAATGCTTTCACAATTTTATCAAAAATATAAAGCAGCAATAATGAACTATAATTGATATCAAAACAATACAGCAAGTGTATCAATATTTCAGAAGTGAAGAAAATAGGCAAGAGACCCCAGTATCATAGATATTAGAGTTTCCAGGGATAGGAAACTTTTAATTGTGTTTTTATTGTTCACATGAAGTTTATACTGTAGCCTAGCAATGGGATAATTCTGATGCTCCCTTCCCTTTTTACGCTGCCCAAAAATTAGGCAATTGGCTGTTAGGGCTGATATTTTATACTGTCTACCAGATAAAAACCTTCTACGAATATTTTATGTTGCATTATTATTGCTCCAGAATAGTGCTTCAATATAAAATGTGATAGACTAGTGTGTCTACTTTATAAAACATAATTATATTATGTTCATGAAATGACACCAAAATTTTTGTTTTGTATTTCAACATCTGTATCTCAAACACATTTCTAAATTGTTCATGATCAGCATGGTAAACCAATTCTACAAGCAGTCCTCCAGGTCTTCCGACTCTAAGCAATCCTGTGAATCACTTTGGTGGTGTTTTACACAGAAATAAAGGAAATTTGCTGTGTTTTGCTTCTACGCACCTATCTCAAGAACTGGACGTTCAAGTGTCTAAAGGGCCCAATCTGCAGAAAGTCTATAACCTATCCCTGGTCTTCCATCCATTAGCAGCTGTTTCAAAATACTCTAAGTACCTCAAAACAATTTTATTTGAGATACATGAAATAAAGTGATGCATTACCAACATTCTAGTTTTGAGGAGCCAAGTAACAAAATACACATTATATAGCTGAAACAAAGGAAGAATATAGACTGGCTTCATTACAAGTTCATTTTCAAGTTGATACAGTGGACCTGAACAGGCTGAAAGACAATGAGAAAGATCTGCAACATCACAGACTAGCCACCATTGCTCAGTGTAAAAATGAAATTTACTGACAATTAGTAAGAATTAATTCTATACGAGGAATGTAGCTTGATTTCCTGCAAAAAAGCTTCCTATGTTTGTAACTCTAATGTTTATGCAGGTATCACAACCTTGAAACCACGCCTACTTCTTTTCTCTATTGCTACATGTGTGAATCAGTAAAATAATTAGTCTTTTTTTAATGCAAATGCTCTTACAACAATGAAACATGCCATATAGCACTTTATTAAAATCAGCTCATTTGGAAAGCAAGCTCTGAGTTTGTGCCCCACAATCCAGAGCATCATTCTCTCCTGGGGCCCCAGTTTGAGGCTCAGGATGGTCACAAATAGAGTACACATACATGAAAAAGTGAGTAACACCGTAATGCAACTAGGCCTGGGGTAATAGTAATATGTAATAGTAATTGTAATAGTAATGATTACAGGCTACCAAGTAATAGTAATAGTAATAGTAATAGAGTCTTTTACAACAGGAAGTAATAGCAATAGTAATAGTAATAATTGTCAAAGTAACATGTAATCTTAATATTGCATAACTATTACATGCATGTGTCAGAGTCTAATCATCCTAACATAACAAAGCATACTCCACCTGTTATATGAAAGCCTTATCTACTGTCAATAGGCTATGTACGGTACATGTACATACATGTACATTACTAATTTACTATAATACCATTATATACATTGTACTTCATTACATTGACATTGTACGGAATTTATACCAGACTAGTAGACTGCCCCAGTAGGCAAGGCTTTCCTAGCACCACGTGCAGCAGGAGCAATCACAGCAATTTTATGTTATAGAAGTGAGTAGAAAGTTGTCCTTTTTGGTCTTTGGTGAATGTTATCATGGAGTCAAGGATACTTAGTCATTTTGAAACCCCATCTTTAATTGAAGGAAGCAACTATAAAGCAAAATGCAAACACTGTGGTTCCTTGATATCTGGATCACAAAG